TCGCTTGTATTTGATGGGAGCCAGTGTGACATTGGTTTACCTGTCTCATAGATAACTTCAAGCTGAAATCTGTCAGAGGAATTGTGACCCATCTCTGCCCCGATTACGGCTGGATTAATGAAACCATCTTCTTTAATCCTGACATGGTGTGTGGAAATGTTCCAGTAAATGTTGGAATGAGCGTCATTGCTCTTGTAGAAGAGGATGAAATAACTCACGCAGTGAAAACCATCAAAGTAAGCCTGAGTTTGCTAACATTCCCTCACCGTAATGGCATTTTGATTATTCCTCTTGGATTAAGACAAGCAACATTGTAGACATAGGGTCAAAGTTGACCTTCTCCTTTGAGTTTAGAAGACTTGATGCTCTAAAATTCAACTGCAGTGATGTTTTTCTGTTCCTAAATCTTTTGCATCTCTTCTCCTAGTATTTGAACAACATAGTAAATTATGGTCATTCTATTCCCCCCCCCCCCTCCGTAGCTTGCATCTCTTAGTGACAGTTCCTTTCTATCCTATGCATTCAAACTAGTAGAATTAGCATGAGCAGCGCTGTGTGTGCCATACTTCTAAATACACCAATTAAGATCTACTTAGCACACACAAATGTCCAAGTATTTACATATCACTGGATGACTTTAAATTTCTTTTAGCTATACTATCTAAATTGATTATCTCACCAACAGGTTACATAAAAGCCTTTTGCCAGTATTGGTAAACATAGATTATTAATTTCTATTATTAAACTATTATAAAAATAATTGTATATTGTATTATTGTAAAATGAGAACTAATATAGATTTATAATATTTCAAATTATAAAAATCTTTATTTTTTTGTTTCTCTATGTGTGTATTTCCTGCATGTGTTGTATGCACGTGGAATCCGCATACAGACATGTTTGGAAGTCATAGTTCAACACTGGCATGTTTTTCTCAGTTACTCATGTCCTTTTATATTTAGAGACAGTCTCTCCCAGAACCTGGAGCTCACTGTTAGGGTTATTCTGAACTGTTCAGAAAGTTACAGAATCTGTCTGTCTCTACCTTCAGGATTGAGGTTACAGATGGATTCCACCATATCTTGCTTTTATGTGGGGATTCTGGGAATCAGCATTCAGGTCCTATGGTTGCACAGTAAGCACTTCACCCACCGAGACAATTTCCTACCCCCCGAATTTCTTTAAATCTTAGTGATAAAGTTGCAGTTTTCTCTTTTTGCTCTTCTCATTAGTTAAATTCATAATATCTGTTTCCATGCTAAGAAAAATATCTATCTTTGTTAGGAAAAATGTTCATGTTTCTTCCCATTATTTTACTTAATGCTTTGTTTTCTTGATTTTACGTATAATTTTAACATACTGCAAGTATTCTCATTGTATCTTCTTGTTTTATCAAGAATTGTACAGCTAATGCCAATTCACAATTTATGCAAACATTCATTTCTTTTCCATTTTATCTTGTTTTAGGAGACAGGCTCTTAATCTGTTTATCATATGTGTGGAATTCATTATGTAGCCTTCACTGACCTCAAATTCACAGTCATTCTACTAGTCTCTTCATTCCAATTGCTAGGATTACAAGCCCCATGCACTGTGCCGTGGGTTGGTTTTGTTTCTTTCTAAAAGCTGTATGAGTATATAAGTGTAAACATGCAAGCATTCAATCACCCTGTTTTTGACATACGGTCCTAAGACAAGGATCCATGTAGTAATAAGAGTGGCAGGGCTGCGTCCCTGGCACCCAGCCGCCTGCACAGCTAGCTTTATCAGAAATAATTACATGGAAACTGTATTCTTTTAAACACTGCTTGGCCCTTTAGTTTTAACCTCTTATTGGCTAGCTCTTACATATTGATCTAACCCATTTCTAATAATCTGTGTAGCCCACGAGGTAGCTTACCAGGAAAGATCTTAACCTGCGACTGTGTCGGGTGGGAGAATCATGGCGATTCTCTGACTCAGCCTCTTTCTCCCAGCATTTTGTTCTGTCTACTCTGCCTACCTAATTTTCTGTCCTATCAGGCCAAGCAGTTTTCTTTATTAGTTAACCAATGATACAAGACCCACCTCCATCAGATCCACATCTTGCTTTGTAACTTGTTGTATGTAGTGGCCCTGTACTGCAGATTGGATCATCCACTCGGTGCCATTTGACTGGGAAGGGCAATAGAATATTAAAATCTTTTCTTAAGCCTTAGGTTATATCTTTAGTCTTCTCTTTGTTCATGGTATTTCTATTTTTAAAGATTTACTTTATTTTTAAACATGTATACATGTGTCCCCCTGGGTTTATGACACCTGTGTATAGATGCCTGCAGATAGCATTAGCACTAGTGTGGTAGAGCTTATGGCATTATGAGCTGCCTGGCATGGGTGCTTGGAGTCAAACTCAGGTCATCTGGAACCAATATGTGCTATTTACTTCTGAGCCATCTCTTCAGATGGGAGATGTAAATGCATTCAACATAGGTGAGCAATTTATTTTTGGAATACATTTAACAAACCATGGAACAGGCACAGTTTATGCATCTTCTCATGTCCATGATGATATACCGTATTAAAAGCTGTCATTTAAATGATTTCTGATTAATCTGGTCTGTTTTTTTTAAATGCTGAGTCTTTTTCTCATTTATTTATTTATTTATTTATTTATTTATTTATTTATTTAATATTCTGTCTGTGTGAATGTCTGCCTGCCAGAAGAGGGCACCAGACCTCATTACAGATGGTTGTGAGCCACCATGGGGTTGCTGGATCTGGTCTGTTTTGATGTGAAAAATAAAGCACTCTGTCTTTGACAGGAGTCGTATGTCCCCAAAGTCCTTACAACTGTGACAAACCAACTTGTTAAGTTGCCATCGTTTTGATGGTGAATCATTTGCATATACAAAGATCTGCTTGTAATTGTTATTTTAGCTGCAATCACTGTCTCCTTGTATTGTAGGTGAAAGCCATGTCTGATCCTATCTATGGTATTGAACCATCAGAATTTGACAAAAGATTTTGCATTAAGTGTGTGACTTATGCAACAAAGGACAACATCTTCATAAGCAAGGAAACATTTTTCCCCATGCAACTACTTTCTGGAGGTATGGTTTGCATTTTTTTTAGTTCTTCAAGAACTTTATATAATGAACTTTGACCGTTTTCATCTCCTCCCCCGAGCCCACCCCTCTTCCCTATACACCCAACTTTGTGTCCTCTCCTTATTCACTGATCAAGTCCAATCTGCACTGCTTATACATTCAAGGATGTGAAGGCTTCCCCTGGAACATGGTGGACCTACCAGTAGCAATATTCTTAATTTTTATTTATGTCTATGAGTATTTACATGCACATATGTGTACGGTGTGTGTGCCTAGTACCCAAAGAGGGCTGAAGAGGGTCTTGGGTCCCCTGAAACTAGAGTTTCACATGGTTCTGAGCCACCATGTTGTTGCTGGGAACCTAACCTCTGCTAGAGCACCATGAGCTCTTAACTACAGAGCCATCTCTCCAGGACTGAGATTATAAACTTTTGCCAACACATCTGACTACATTCAATTTCTAGTCACTGAACACATCATGCATGCAAGGGATTTACATAAAAAATACTTCAATCACTGCAAAGCCAGGGTGCAAATAGTTCTTGTTCCTTTTCTCTCCACCTCTTCTCTATGTGTCCTTGTTCTAAAACACTGTTAGTCTCAACAGTCAGACCCTCCGACTTTGACTTTAGCCTAGGTGCACTGGGAGGTACTCAGATTCAGCAATTTGCTTCTACAAATGTTCCTGGCTGCCTCTCCAAATGGAGATGTGGCTATTTGAAGAGGAATACCAGTGATTCTAACAAATTGCTTACTCTGAGACACACAGTTCTTAGTTGTCAATATCTGACTGTTAACGAGGGTAGAAAAAGCAGTGTTTAAAGGATTATAAACTTCCCTTATTGTAGGAAGATATTCAAGGTATCTGTGATGGGTTTTATTTTATCTTTTGTTTTTTGAGACAGGGTTTCTCAGTGTTGCTTTGGAACCTGTCCTGGAACTCACTCTGTAGACCAGGCTGGCCTCAAACTCACAGAGATCCCCCTGCCTCTGCATCTGGAGTGCTGGCATTAAAGGCACAAGCCACCATACCTGTCCAAAAGGTATCTATAAGCATTTGGAAAAGTGACTTTACATTCAGGAAATGTTGGTCATCCTATTACAGTGACAAAGGGCCTTAGGTAATGTGACATGACCTGAGCGCAATAATATTTACCCTTCTAATTTTCTTGGCTGTTTTAGGATTTTTGCCCTTTAAAGGGGACTTGTTGCTGGTTGAGTATTCCTTGAAGCCAGGTACTTCAAACATCACAATTCACGCTTTGAGCCTGCTAAACTCCCAGAATATGGATGAGGTAATTTGCTTCCATATTGTCCTTGTCATGGGTAGGTAACTGCCTATCTTTCCTTCCTGATAACTTTCTTTCTCAGAATTTTGTTTGGCAGTATATCCCCTGCAAAAGTAGACACATTCACGAATGTGAATTGAAAAAGAAATAATAGGCCGGGCGGTGGTGGCGCACGCCTTTAATCCCAGCACTCAGGAGGCGGATCTCTGTGAGATTGAGGCTAGCATGGTCTACCAGAGCTAGTTCCAGGACAGGAACCAAAAAAGCTACGGAGAAACCCTGTCTTGAAAAAAATCCACCCCCCCCAAAAAAAAAGAAGAAAAGAAAAGAGAACTAATAGAAAATAATGTAGAATATACACATACTTAATTCCTAGGCTGTGTGCTTTACTTGACGTTAGGATGTTCTGTGAACAACAGTTAGAAAGCGCCTTGACTGTGACTGTGAGGCAATTGTGGGTAAACGTTGAGTACACTGGGTTTGAGGTGTTCAGCCTGCTGATAAAGGTGGGTAAGACCATGGTCAGTACAGCCTGAGAATTAGATGTAAAGTCAGGGTGGTATACTGTGTGGCCATATTGGTTAACACGAATGGCACTTCCTCTCATCACACAGGAGATAGAGTGTGGGGCCATACTGCTATGAAGGGCATATTTTCTCATCACACGGGAGATAGAGTGTGGGGCCATACTGCTATGAAGGGCATATTTTCTCATCACATGGGAGATAGAGTGTGGGGCCATACTGCTATGAAGGGCATATTTTCTCATCACACGGGAGATAGAGTGTGGGGCCATAATGCTATGAAGGACATATTTTCTCATCACACAGGAGATAGAGTGTGGGCCACCTTGGGTAGCTTGAAGGACATGTCTTCTCATCACACAGGAATAGAATGTGTCGATATAGTTTCCAGGTATTCCCTGTGTGTCTAGGATGAGAATCAGTGATGGGCCAAGGGATCTGCTGATGAGAGCCAAGGGGTTGTTGAGGGTCACCTGTGGTGGGCTCTGCTTCTCCATACTCAGTGTCTTCATTTCTCTTCTTAGGTCTGTGTGACCAGTATTGATGGAAGAACTGGCGTGGTGGATGACATCATCTTTTTCACCTTGGACTCACTCCAGAAGCCTAAAGACTATACTCCAGGGCTGTATGACATTGTGAATGTAGTTGCTGTGGACAGCATTCAACCAAACTGTTCTTGGAGAGCAGTATCAATGGTCCCAGTGGAAATGTGTATTGACCAGGCCTCGTAATTTTCAATATTCTTTTGAAGGCTCTGGTTTAATAAAATAACGTGAACACATAATCCAAAGATATGTGAGTTATGACTCTTCTTTTGAACATTCTGGTGATTTCGTTAGCATCATGGACTCACTTTAGGAAGGTACCTTGTTGATAAAAAAAAAAAAAAGTGTCCTATTGGAACGTGATTTTAGTAAAGAAACAGCCCTGCCCTCCAGGAAAGTGCATCATTTTCCATAAGCAGGAGCAGATTCTGTGCTTCCATTGGACTTGTAGGCCATTGAGATGTATGGTGAAGCAAAACATTTAACTCGAGATTCCAGGAGTAAACAGATAAATGTGACCTTGTGTGATTTAACATTACAGCTAGCCTTCTAGCTTGAGTGTCTTTACACCTTTCCAAAGTTTATTTCTCTACAATTTCTACCAGCTACTCCATTTGTTAAATTTAGTGTTTAACTGTGGATCCTCTTCCTATGCTAGCATTTCATCTTCATAAAAATAGGGTGTTATGTGAGTCATTTTCCAACTCGCAGCATTAATGATAATTCTTAGTATGTCCTAGGAGTAGACTGAAAGTTACAGACTAGTAAATAATTTCACTAGGCTCTAATAGTGCTTTCATATAGCACTACTACCATTTTCAGTTGCTATGATTTAAATTGCTCCACATCCCATTAAGAACTCATTTAAACAAAATATCATATATGTGAAAAATCAATTCTGTCACCCATTTTATGAAATTAGTTCATTTGCAGACATGGATCAGATAAAACTCTAGATACATTTTCTTGATGCTGACATTGCTGACTCAAGGGAGAAGTGTCTAAATAATATACACATAAATGCTTCTTAAGACTAATGATGTTTCAGAGGTCCAGTTTCATTGGAAAGTGGTGGCATGTTTATCCCGGGCACATTATCTATGATTTGACCAGAAGTTCATGTTCTTAAGTAACAGAGCTTTCCACATACCAACCCTGGCTTTAATTTACCAATACAGTTTTCATAATTTTCACTTTCTTAAAATTTCTCTGATCACCAGATTTCTCTATGTCATGCCAACTATAACAGTAACAACTGCAAAATACTATTATTATTATTATTTTTTTTGAGACCCAGGTTTACTATGTAACAACGTTGGCTGTCCTGGAACTTGCTCTGTAGATCAGGCTGGCCTCGAACTCACAGAGATCTACCTACATCTCCCCCTTGAGTGCTGGCATTCAAGGCATGCACCACCACTGCTCTGCTAAGATATTATTATTATTGTTGTTGTTATTATTTATTTTATGTACATTGATATATTGTTTGCATACACGTGTGAGGGTGTTGGATCCCTTAGAACTGGAGTCTACAGACAGTTGTGAGCTGCCATGTAGGTACTGGGAATTGAATCCAAGTCCTCTGGAAGAGCAGTCAGTGCTCTTAACCACTGAGCCATTTCTCCATTCCCAAGATACCATTTTAACACATTTTTATTGATTGTTTTGGAATTTCACATCATGTACCACAATCTCACTCATTTCCCAGCCCTTCCATATCCACCCTTCACCCCTGTAGTGTCCTCCACCAAAGAACAGTAAAAAAAGAAATAAAAATAAGATGAAAACAAACAAACAAATAGGACCAAAACACAGGTTTAAAACAAAGCAAAAAGCCAGTTCGTGCAGAAGGATCAAAAACCCGTTGCCACTGTTCTTGAGGTCTCAGTAGTCCTCATTGTCCGCTATGTTCAGCGAGACCTGTTTTAACCCAGGCTTTTTCAGACCCAGGCCAGCTGGTCTTGGTGAGTTCCCGATAGAACATCCCCCTTGTCTCAGTGTATGGGTGCACCCCTCGCGGTCCTGAGTTCCTTGCTCGTGCTCTCTCCTTCTGCTCCTGATTTGGACCTGATGCTCACCTTACTAGACCTGGATGGAGGTAGGTGGTCCTTGGACTTCCCACGGGGCAGGGAAACTTGATTGCTCTTTGGGCTAACGAGGGAGGGGGACTTGACTGGGGGAGGGAAATGGGAGGCGGTGGTGGGGAAGAGTCAGAAATCTTTAATAAATAAATAAATAATTAAAAAAGAAAATATATATAATCATTTTAAAAAAGCAAAAAAAAAAAACCCACTTTGATCCTCTGATGTGGGATTCCCTTCTGTATGCTGTGAATACCATTGGTTAATAAAGAAACTGGCTTGGTCTGTGATAGGGTTGAACAGAGCTAGGCAGGAAAAATTAAACTGAATGCTGGGAGAAAGAAGGCTGAGTTGGGAGAAACCATGGAGCCTCCCCTGAAGAAAGACAAGCCAGAACTTTTCCGGTAGGCCACAAGCCTCATGATAAAATATAAAATAATGGAAATGGGCTAAATTAAGATGTAAAAGTTAGCCAACAAGAAGTTAGAGCTAATAGGCCAAACAGTGATTTAATTAATACAGTTTCTGTGTGGTTATTTCAGGAGTTTGGGTAGCTGGGAAACTAACAAGCAGCTTTCTACAACAAATTGGTACTCCAACTTGGTTGACTAAATCCACATAAAACCTGAGAGGGCTTGGAAAGGAATTCTAGACTCTAAAAAACAAAGTTTAGCTGCATTTTTTTCCAGATAGACTCTGCTTGCTGGCAGCATGCTGCAGCTCCTTTAAGAGATGTCTTCCTGATTCAACAGTATCAGAAAAAGAGCTGCACAGTTTTGAAACAGTAGCTTCCTGGGCCATGCTGCCAGTACAGACTCTAAAGACCCCTTGAATGGTTGCTGTAAACACCCCCACAAAGAAAATGCTTCACCCAATAAATAGCAGGAAGTAGTTTGGATAAAAATAACTACGTCCATATTCCCAAATTTTGTCTGTAAATCTTTCTTTACATTTAAAGGGGGATTTGACATACATATGAATAATTTGCATTGGTATGGATCTTGGTTTCTTGATACAAATTTAAGGTAAAGTTTTTATACTGTATATGTATATTTCTGCCCTTGATTAAGATAATTGTGTTTGTGTAGTTAATTTAAAAATGTAATGTATAATTAAGAAATATAGATTAATAGTTAGTCATCTGAATAATAGTCAAGCTTGCAGTCATGTTAGCTAGATTTTCTAGATATATAGAGATATATTTCATTTAGTTAGGCATTCGTAGAATCTTTCAGAGACCTTCAGAATATGGCATTTAAAATATTTTAAGAAGTTAGGACTTTTCATGACAATGAGACACATCTGCTCCTGGCAGCATCAATTACTTCAAGAGAAAGATAGGCATCAAAGAGGCTCCTTATGGAGTTGATTTGCCATTTGGGCAAGAAACTGCTCTTGCCTGAACTTCTTTTATTTATTTATTTATTTATTTATTTATTTATTAAAAATTTCCACCTTCTCCCATCCTCCCATTTCCCTTCTACTACTCCCCTCCCCCTCGCTCTCCAGTCCTAAGAGAAGTCAGGGTGCCCTTCCTTCCCTGTAGAAAGTCCAAGGCCCTCCCCCCTCCATCCAGGTCTAGGAAGGTGTGCATCCAAACAGATCAGGCTCCCAAAAAGCCAGTAAGTACATGCAGTAGAATCCAAATCTGGTGTCATTATCATTGGCTTCTCAGTCCGCCCTCATTGTCAGCCACATTCAGAGAGTCCGGTTTGATCACATGCTCGTTCAGTCCCATTCCAGCTGGCCTTGGTGAGCTCCCATTAGATCAGTCCCACTGTCTCAGTGGGTGGACACACCCCTCGCTGTCCTGACTTCCTTGCTCATATTCTCCCTTCTTCTGCTCTTCAATTTGACTTAGGGAGCTTAGTCTGTTGCTCTGATGAGGGACTTTGTCTCTGTCTCCATCCATCGCTGGACGAAGATTCCCTCCGGAAGGACGGATCTTCTGGTACAGGATCCGGGCCATTTGCTGGCCAGGGACCTCGCAGACTAAAGGGCTCCCTTGCTGGTTGCAGGCTCAGTGGAACAAGAAACTCCTGCAGCAATTGTCCTTACCACTTTGACCCCAGACCCCAGCCTGGAAGCAGGCTGAGTTGGGGAATCCTTTGACCCCTCAGATGGAGAGGGGTGCTGGGGAAGGGAAGCTGGGATGGGATGAGAAGAGAAAGGCAGCAGGTGTGGGGGGAGGGGGCACTGGGTGACCAGAAAGTTTAGGGAAATGGGGGGTGCCTGAGCTCCCCTTTCCAGGGCATTAGGCCGGTCACTGGGGGAGCACTCACCCCTCTGGAAAGACGAATATTCTCTTGCCTGGACTTCTTAATTGGACATACAGGACCCACAGAGAAATGACTGCTGAACTTGCCTGAGACTGTCCTTTGGGGTTTCTGCTTCATGAAAGAGTCTGAAGACATTCTGAAGGACACCCAAAAAAGTGATCGATAAATCTCTTATCTGAAGTTCCCCAAAGAGACAAATGCCAAATGCCAAAGCAATTCCCAGTCACAGGACACCACAGTTGGCTGAATCCTCCTGTAACCAGGTTTTGCATAGATTTTGAATCTTTAGGAAACTCTCAGATAAGATTTACACACTTCAAACAGAAGATACAGGACACAAAAGGTAGCAGTCACAAAAGGCAGATCAAGGTCCAGGTGTTAACACTCTGGAATCAAACAGGCTTCAAAGCTTCATGGGAACTCCCACTACCATAAGCGGAGCCACTGACATCAAGGCAGACCCTGGTTGCATGAGGGCCACAGATCAAGATATTATTAAAACATAAAAACAAACAAACAAAATAACTAGAACCTTAGCTGGGCGGTGGTAGCACATGCCTTTAATTCCAGCACTCGGGTCGCAGAGGCAGGAGGATCTCTATGAGTTCGAGGCAAGCCTGGACTATAAGAGCTACTTCCAGGATAGGTTCCCAAACTACAGAGAAACCCTGTCTCAAAAAACAACAACAACAACCAACAACAAAATCCTATAACCTTGATGTTTCCCACATTAACAGAATTCTTTCTCCACTCTTTGAAGCTTATTGTGGGCTGGTTTTTTTTTTTTCTTTTATTGTTTTGCTTTGTTTTTTGAGACAGGATTCTC